AGCCGGAGAACTTCGCCTGGGACGTTTTCTTCAATCGATATAAGCTCCATTTGAATCAATGCACTTTTGCCAACGTAACACAAGTCGAATGAATCTGTCGGCATAAAAATTGGGTTATCGGGATTCGAAGAAATTGACGAAGACCGTTTTTGCATGGCGAGGGTTGTACCGGTGAGAAAGTTATCGAAGTGCTTGAAAAGATGGTAGTCAGATGATGGGGTGTAACTTCGACGCTCATTAGTTCAGATTTCGGACGGTAATTTGAGAAACATGCTGACAAGCGTTATCATGGAGCAGAATAGGACCTCTTTTGTTGACCAGTGCTGGCTGCTGCTGACGCAATTTTTGGTACATTTTGTCGATTTCCTCACAATAGGACTTTGCTGTGATGGTTTCGCCCGGTTGCAGACAGTTATAGTGGATCATACCAGCAGCTGACCTGGTCCAGCAACTATGGTCCCTTTTTATAGGTTTTCGCCTTTGGGTCGTGCACGGGTGGCACATCGGTGTAGAATCACTATCCTGAACAGAATCCACTTTTCATTACATGTGACGATCCGATCCAAAAAAGGATCGTTCTGGTCGCGCAAAAGCAAAGAAGAACAGACCTCGAACAGTGACAATTTTTGTCGATCGTTCAACTCGTGGGGCACGCACTATCCGAGCGTTTTGACCCTTCCAAAACGTTTCAAACCATCGAAAACCCATGGAAGCTGATGCCCAGTTGTCCACCTTTCCACGCATCATTTGTGATTGGTCAGTCTCCACCAGGGTCTTCAAATCCTCGTCCTGGTTTACTGTAGGTCGACCACTTCGAGGCTCATCTTCAAAGCTAAAATCTCCAGAACGAAATTTCGCAAACCACCGTCAAACTGTGTTTTCTTTAGCAATATCATTTCCAAATGGGTGGGTAATTTTTTGGTTCAATGTGAATTCGTAGAGAAAAATTTGCTGAAAATCGCTTAACAATAGTAATAAGCTGTTGAATAAATATAAATTGAAGTTTGGAGCTACATAAACGCATGACATCAAAATGGACAAACTTTTTGAAACAACTATACCTGTGTTCTAAGATGTGCGTTAACGACACAAAACATTTGGTTTTTCAACCAATGTATTAAAAACAGAGTACATCCCAAATTTACCGCCCTGAAGACCAACAATAGAAGTATAGCAGCCCAAGAAGCAATCAATCATGGAAGAAACAAATGGATGAAGGTAGAAAGAAAATTCCTATATTGTAAGAGAGATATATTTAATGTTTATTTGAAAGTAATACATTCTGAATTAGTTAAAAGACACGCCAGATGAAGCCATTGTATGGCGAAACACGTGTTGCGTTTTTGTAAAACAATTTAGTGAAAATCTCACAATAAAGTGTTTTTGGAATACGTTAGTTATGGATTTTCATCAAGTATCGGCCGATTCCATCATATATCTAAAAATTTGTCGAATTAGTTGATAATTACCGAAGATATTTGATTGAATTTAAATGAGAGAACTAATATCTGAACAAATTTTAATGAAGGTATGTCGTAGAAACAATTGCATTCGTTTGTTAGTCATGTCAAACATCACACAATTTGGAAATGGTGTGTGTTATTCGTTTGTGTTGAAAAAATCTGTGAAAATCTGATGAAATCTGTTTTTTCGTTAACCATCTCTGAAACCCCCATGAACGGCAGCCCTCAGAAGCAAAGAAAACGTTTCGGAATGTTTTTGTTTGACAGAAAGAATTGGAGTTTCAATAATGACAGGGTTAGGTAATCAGTTGATATTAATCAATGATAAAGACTAAGTATAAATTGAATAGGGATATATTTTTAGAATTTTTCTTTTTCTCTATCTCTATCCCAAAAAAGAGAGAATCTTCCAAAAAAAGGAAGAAACCAATTTATTTCAAAATAAACTATACAAAGGTGATCACTAAACAGTTTTACATAAACGAAACACGTGTTTCGCTATACAATGTATCTGAGTTTGTAATGAATTATATTACCTGTGTTTATGTACCAGTTTCGACATTAGGAAAAATGTTTGGTAACGGGGAGTTATTTAATTCTAACTGATCATTCAGTAAGTTACCTGAATTCTTGAATCTATTGATTTCTAAATAATCTAGAAGATTGAGTTTCAAACTTTTCTCTTCTAAATATAACACGTCTATTGCATGATTGAACTCATGTTCTTCTGCTAAACAAATGTTGAATTGGTCTTTCTATTTGCAAAACTACTTTTATGTCTTTCAATTCTTTGGAAAAATATTGTTTTTAATAAATTTGCTTGAAACAATTATTCATTGTGTAAGCTACGTTCACGCATTCTTTTTTCAAAAAACGGAAATATTATTGGTGGGTTCACCCAAATATGACAATAATGCGATAACTGACGTTATCGCATCTTGAATTTAGGTAGATCTGATCCATGGCTTGCTTTCGTAGATTTTTAGAAGGAATAGAGTCTATAATATCTATTGGTTGACACAATTCAAAAAAAGGTGATGACATCCTTTCTGTCTATCAAAAACTCTATAATGAGTTCTATAATGAAATAATGAAATTTCTGTGGCATTCTTATGCCAATCCCCTTTGAAATAACAACAAAAAACGGAAAAAAGTTTATGAAGTTCATTCATGAACGGCNGTTTTGTTATTTACTTTGCATTTATTTGAGGCTAGCGACCCGCTTCGGCATTGCACTCGCAACGCTGACAATAAATATACTATAGAATGTCTTCATATACAATGTTCACAGCTTTTCTGTCAGTAGACAATGCAAACATGTTTTCTTTACAGGTAACTTGTGAAAGAGCGACATATAATTGGTCCAGTACCGCCGCAACCGCATTGTCCCTGCATTTTAAATGTGAATCTTCTTCAATATTATTTCAAATTACATGCTTTTAAGGGCCATATTGATCTATATTTAATGCATAATATATTTAAGGTACTCAACTGAATAAGGATCAATGCTGTTTTGCTTAAAATCACTTCGCAAATAAACTTTTAATGAAAAATTGTTATTGTGGGTTATCCCACAGACACAGATAGGCATGTACCATCGCGGACTTTTTGTAGACCTTTTTAGGGTGCACAATACTGTGGTAGGTACATCATTTTGATTTATCTCGTAGAAACATTAGAAATCTCTAAAATTATCAGTGTTTCTCAATCATATTATCGCTCTATCAAATAAAAAAATTCCGCATCAAAATCCGTTGCGTAGTTTTGAAGATTTTAGCATACATAAGGACAGAGAGCGGGAAGCGACTTTTTTCTATACTATGTAGCGATGGTATTAAATTTGTATTCAGTGTCGGTGAATAAATGTTTGAACAATGAACAGAAAGAAACGTTGATATAATACCTACACAGATAATGAAGTTCATTGAGGGTCTATGTAATTCATCATAATGTACTCCATCATAACATCAAAGCAGATTAATCGCAATGAATCATAACGCTACAAGATCATAATCGTAATGTACAGAATACAGAGAAACGTAAGCCGTCATAACCCCAATTCATCATAACGTAAAACAGCAGAACGTACTCTGTCATAACGTACAAATTCATAACGTACTTATAGAAACGTTAACCGATCATAATCGTAACGCATCGTATTCACATTGTATCATAAACTCATTGTATCGCTAAAGCGTAGAAACCGTGTACAGTACATTGTAAGTATAAAATAAATGCATTTTGTCAATTACTTTTCGACAAAAAATCAGTCAGTGTCTAATTAAACGGAAAAGACTAGAAGAACTTTGCACCACGAAGGATTAATTTCTGCAGGTGCATTTTTTTTTTACTGGGCTCTTATGATACGTCACCAGTTATAACCGTTCTAGGCAAATTTGGATCGCCGTTGACATCTTTCAACAATTCCTGAGCGATGCTCATGCAACAGTTTTTTTTAATCAAAATTCAGCAATTTTGGAACTTCGCTGCCACCCGCTTCATGCCCGAAAATTCCAAAAAAATTGCAAGTCATGAGCCAACCGTTATTCCGACATCCCCAGCAACTTCCCTTGAGTGATTCGACGATTCTCTATAACAATTTTTTTCATTTTCTGTTTTTCAGTTTTTTCGGTAGCAGAAAATCACCGTACACGCAGAACACTTTTATGCATCTCACCAACAGTCTGTATATTTGGAATATCTCTCTGAAATATATTCATGAACTGATTTAAACATATCGATAACTCATTTTCATTCTAACTTTTTTGCAGAAATGGACAAGATATCCACAGAAAAACTCAAGGAAAATCTACAAACTCAACTATCAGAACTAGAAAGTCTACAGTCAGTATTCTGCAATCCAGGAGAGGTGAAAGTGGAGGACATTTGTACCCTCGCAGATATAACAGACTTCGTAGCCGACAAATCAACATTTCTACCCCAATACCTGGATCTAGTAATCAAGCTGGTAATAGATGATCTCAAATTTGAACTCTGCGTCACTCTGCCTCACGAATATCCTCACGCTGAACCTGAAATTTTCATCCGCAGCCCAGAGCTCAATCGTTCTACACACATCCAACTCAACAAGAATATCAACGAATTCATCACCAGTCAAGAAAAAGGAGAACCCTGTATATTTTCGGCAATATCCTGGCTGCAGGATAACGCTGGGAGCTATGTGTCAGTTAAAGAGGAAACTTCTCCGCAGAAAGATGCCAAAAACGAGAAATTCGTGAGATATTGGATTTATTCGCATCATATTTACAGCAGAACAAAGCGCAAGGAAATAGTGGATTTGGCAAATCAATTGAGTATAAGCGGTTTCTGTATGCCAGGTAAGATGAAATATTGCAGATCATTCAAAGGTTATCCATTTTAAAGTTGTTTCTTTGAATTGAACAATCGACTCGACAAGCTTTGGTGCGTTTGGCCAGGAGAAAGGATTTAGCATTCTTTGAATAAGTCAAGAATAGTCAAGTCGATGAATACGTAAAACAAGCAGTCTTCGAAAATCCTCAAGAATAAACAGAAAAGCGTCGTCAATCAGGTCTGTTGGTCTCTTGGTGGTACTTCCGATATTTTCATTTTTTAAGATCGAAGAGACCAATCTGTTAGTAGCCCTGGGTATGTTGGCATCAGTTCAGATAATGCGGTGATCCTCAATGTTTCTCTATTTTCTGGGAAACTCTGCTAACATGTTCTGTAAAATGTCGACCCGTAATCCTTAGTTTCACTATGACTATCTGACCTTCAACCTGGACTGCACTGATTTCGTTTTTAGTTGTTACCAAGACGGCTATTGCCTTGTCCGTTATCCAGTCAGTTGGACACCCTCTGCAAGACAATGTTGGCCGTGTCCATTAGTCTTTTCTCACCTTCAACTACCACCGTCATTGCAATATCATGGACGAAGCCTATTAATGTATCCAATGCCAGCACTTTCATTCTCAAAAGCCTGTCGAACAGATCGTTCTACAAAGTTGGTCTAAGAGTGTTATCTAAACTTTTTACTCTGATCTTCGATTCCTCTTATCCTAGGGACATAGCGAGTTGAAGCAGTTTCTGTATTCTGCATCTGTTTCATAAATCCAAACTGTCTTTCCGATAGTCCGCCTGTTTTAGTTATTTGCTACTCCAGCGATGCTTTTTTTCTAGTTATCTTCCTTCGTTCATTTCTTCTGATCTCATTACAGTTTAATGAAGAACACTGAAAACTGTATTATCTGAAGACGTCAACTTGGTTGGTGAAATACTCGTCGGGAAGAGTATTGAAGTTTTGGTGATTGGAAAAAGTGCTTCTTCATCTTCAGATCTGCATTACTTATTAACGAGGTCTTACCTTTTAACGTGTGATTCCTAACACGGGTTGGACGGTAGCAAGTGAAGATCGATCGTTCAGACTAGGGCTTGAACCACCGACCAACACGGCAGTCAATTCGAGTGAGTGAACAAAGCACCCACGCCGAACCGCTTGGCTACCGACTGACCAATGAATGATGAATCCAATTTGCAAAGATATGCAACATAGATTTTCCAATTTTAAGTTTCCTTGCGATTTGAAAGATATACAAAAATATTTTTGGGCTCACGAGCTTTGAACTATAATTCAGAACTTTATTTTTCATTTAATAGTGTTCCGTTTTCTATCCGTGGTTGACCAATAATTGACTACACTGAATAATCAACCTTAACTTTATTTCACTTTGAATTCAACAAATACTTCAACTAAACTTCAACTATTATTTTAATGTCTAACACCTTACCCTTGAACTATTCTCAAACATTCGTTGTAACAGGTGTTGAAGACATCATCATCAGTTCATTCCTAACTTGGATGTCATATACGTTCATGAAACACCTCTAAAACTTGGTTAATTGAGGGAAATCTGTTTATAATACTTCGAATCTATGATTAAACCCTTCTGCGATCCATATGCAGATATTGGCCGCGGTCAATGTTTGATATTCCTAAGTAAGCTATCAGTTTTGTTTGGAGTTTCCCAGAAGTTTCTCGCTCACTTAGGGATCTGCCAAACTTGTCTTCGTAACTAGGAATAATCAAGAATAAATGAAAAGTGCCCTTCAAAAGGGAAAACCAGGGTTTCAAAGATGAGAAACTACTGAAATAGCACTAAAATGCGCTCTGTTGCTGCGACTTTGTAGTTATTATTTAGTTATGAAATCTTCACAGGCATTTTCTGTGACGTGGTTTTGATTGTATCGATAATGAAACACACGACCGCCGGTGTCTAACAAATTTTCCGGGTTTATTAGCCATGGTTTGCGGCGTTTCGTCTGCTACTGCGGCAGACATTATCAAAGGCGAATCGGCATCGCTCGAAAAGATTTACCTTGCTGCAATGCGTAAACTGGTGCGTGCGTTTGTACTTATAATGGGACTAGGTGTCGGACAACCGACTGCTCTTGTATCACGTTGGTCCGACCCTTCTTCAATTTTTCCAAGAATCTCTGTGTTATGAAGTGCCGGTATCCATGTCTTTTTGATGTTCAGGCTCTCTTCCTTCTGTTTTATGGCCACTCTGCTGAATAGCCTCGGATAGTGACCTCTGGTTATATCCTTGCGTATGTTCGAAGGCAATGTCATTGCTGCCCTCTGAGAGAGCGTGTTCTCCAACTGCCAATATATCTGTTTGGTCGTAGCGACAACTTTTTTTATGCTGAGTCAAGCACGTCTTATCGCTTATTTTCGTAGTTCTAATGTAGAACGTATCAATGTATCACGGTATACTCCTGGGGTACTCAATAGATCCCGTAGGTCTTTTGCTGACCTGAAACTATTATATATCGTTTTGGTGAGCTCAGATCAGCAAGAAAACCCAAGGATTCATTAAGTACCCCAGGAGTATACCGAATACCGCGTAGGTGTGATTCGTTCCACATCGGAACCACGAAAAGAAGCATTAGAACGCGCTTAAAAGAAGTTGCCAAACAGTTGAAAAATACGCTCAAAAGGCAGCCAAGACATTGCCTCGAAGGGTACGCAAGTTCTTCATATAAACAGAGGGTTACGTTAGGTTAGGTCCAAAGTTAGTGGGTCCATTCGACCCTTCGCAAGGGTTCATTGTAGCTCATACCTATTCACACTCGACCAAATAAACCCAGCTTCTCGACGAAGCCGATTAGTTTATATGGTGAGTGGTCTTTCAGGTCAGATGGTAGGAGTACGGCTCTGCCGAACTCTAAAAACCTGATTTAATAATAACAAAAATGCTGTTTCATCATTTTCCATACTGAGGCGTCACACACTGTCTTCCGACAGTCCGAGTCTCTGCATATGATGATTCAAATGACACTTACCTGTAAGAAGGCCTATTAGGCATCGTAGTTCATCCCTACTGTACTCCAACACCTGTTTGGTATCAAGCTTCGAAGGGTGAATGAATGCCTTGGAGTGAGCCAATCCTAGAAGATTCTGCCAGAAGTCCATAAATCTTCTTGCCATCCAGGTGTTCAATGTTTGTTTGGCAAAGCCCAAAGCGATGCCAATGACAGGTTCTAGTCCGATGAAGCCGCTTGCAACACCCTCCTTTGCAAGGGAGTCAGCAGCTTCATTACCTTCCAGGTCGGTATGGCCAGGAATCCAAACCAGACCAATCTGTTAAGTCTTCCTATCGAGGGGAGTCGTTTTTGACAATTTGCTACCAACAAGACACGGATACCGGCACTTCATAATTGAAGAAGCGTCGGGTCAGGAGCAGTCGGCAGTCCGACAACTAGTTCTATTATGAGTACAAACGCACCAGGACCAATTTCAATTTGAGCATCGCAGCAAGCTAGATCACTTCGACTGTTGCCACGTCGCCTTTGATAATGTCTGCCGCAGTGGCAGATGAATCGTCAGGTATGAAAGATTGCAGACCACGGTGAATAAACCCGAAAACATCGAACAGTCAACCTCAGTTACTTTGGCAATAAAGTTCAGCAATATTTCGTATTTTCTATTCTCTTTCCCGAAACAGTGAAAAATGTATTTTGAAGGCATCATGAATATTTGAAATGACGGAAACTATATATATGCGGCTTCATTGAATTTTCTCCTAAACCAGTGTTCCTCCTTGTGGATGATTTCAGTCTGAGCCCACTTGATGTTATGTTGATGAGACCAAACATGTTCTGCTATTCCTGTGTGTGTTTCTTGTGCTTGGCATTGCCAACTTTCAATGTCCTCATAGTATGATGTATGATCCTCCGCACTCGCAAGGTATCCGGTAAATGCAATTCTTGGAATCGCAGTCCGCGTTTGGTGGCATGGTTTTCGTGACGTTGTGTGGATAGTGTTCCCAGATCTGAAACAGGTTCTGATGTTATACTTGGACTCAATTCTTCTTATCCTTTCCGACAATCCTCTGATGTAGGGAAGAACAAGTACTGGTTGTGGCGGATTCTCTTCCTTTTGAGGTTGTTGCTGTCCTCTAACCGAAGTCTGTTCCACCTCACTTTGGAGTAACCATTCCGTTGAAGGTCATTTTTAATGATGTCTACTTCCTTTTCGATACCTTCCTTTGTATTACAGAACCCGAAAGCACGGTCTACTAGATTCTTGATGATTCCTCTCTTAGTCAATTGATGGTGGTTGGATTCCTGATTCAGATACTGTCCCGTGTGAGTGCGTTTTCGCTATACAGATGTTTTCCATTTGTCGTAGCGCTTACGAATGTTTCAGATTACGTTCCTTAGTTCTTGAGGGCTAATATCTGCACATACCTGTCGAATTCTTGCACAAAGTTCATTTCTATCCCTTAAGCGGTTTTTGTAAACCTTTTGTGTGAGAAGTCCCTAGAGAAAAAAGTCCAAAACTGTGAGGTCTGGAGATCTGGGTGTCGACTCTGTAAACGAACTACCACGGTTTGGAAAATGTTCGTTAAGCCATTGCCTCACAGCTCTGGCATAATGAACTGAACGCCCATCTAACTGGACAATTAAATTTGATCGTTCATTTATTGGTAGCTCGTGAATAGCATCTCAAAACTCTGTATTTGAAAATTCTAGAAACCTCTGCGCAATAATGTTTTCCTCAAAAAATAAAGGACCAATAATTCGTTCGTTCAATATCCCACACCAGACGTTGATTTTTTGGGAATACTGGCTTCCCCTTGGGCCCATAAACAATATTCCAGGTGTCTTGCTTCGTCGCCTTCTTGAAGTGTGTGTAAAAATTTTGGCTTGAAAGGTTTAATATTCTTCGTCTTGAGACATCTCCGAACAGTTTCTCGTCGAATATTCAAATCTAAAGTGGCATTCCTTATACTGACATTAGGATTATTTCCGAAATAATCTAAAATGATTTGATCATTCCTGTCATTCCTGTTTCGTC